TATACTACCTGCCACTTTAGATTTTCTCCTTCGCATGCTTGAATACTCATTGTGTCAGAACACTTGTATGTATGTTTGCCCTATGTTTTTAAAAATCTTATGAGGCTAGCACCTTCAATAGCTATAAATAGCATTTCCATCTAGCTTGTGCAATTTATTATTCGACGAGACTCTATTGGACTCATCAATTTCTGGTACTAGTTAAGTCAGAATATTGTGACCGGCTATTCCTGAGATTTTGTTAATTGACACCGGTTTTTGGTGCCTGTATTCCCCAGGCATTATCATCAACCAGGACAGGCTGCACTACAGGATATGCTACAGGAATTCTGATAGGGAACAAGGTAAAATACTTAAATAAATGCCCCCAGCCCCCACCCCCCACCCCCGCTTGATGCACTTTGTAGCTATCTTTTAGCGTCAAGTAAATAATAGATTGGATGGGATAGCACAATGATCTTAATCTCACTTCATGGACTGTCAGTTTTTACAAGGAGGATCTTTGATCTCATATTTGAATCTATAGTATTCCATCTTTCTTCTCTCATTCTTGCATAAAATGGCACTTAAGCAATTGCTTACAAATCCTGCTAATTAATTATCTTTTCGCTCTCCTCCTTTTGCGCTATCTTGAACATTTTCCTCTATCACATCTCGGACAACAATGCTGAATGTGAGTAGGCGATACTCAGTAGATCTTCCAAATAATGGATTTGGCTATGATTACTTCCCATGAGAACAAAACACTTTCTGGTTATGTTGTTTATAGTCTTGCAAATCATCTTGGCAGAATCTAATTGGGAGCAAGTTAAGTTGTCATAGAATCTATCTTTTCTTGATGAACAACATGATAATTATGGAGCGTAATGTTGGTTAAGATTCCCATAACCTTAGCTTTCATGACAAATCCAGATTGTGGAATGATATCCTTAAATAGGATTTAATTTATTTATATATAGCAACAGTATATGTCTGCTTTGATGAGTGCCAAACATAAGAAAATCAGGAGAGGAGGTCAGGGGATTCCTAATATTCGTGGCAGCCTATACATTTTCCTCCCAACTGACATTTTCCTCTACCTATTATGATCTAACCATTTTCTTCATAATATTGTTTTTGTCTCATGTTAGTCCTTATTTACTATATCAGAAGAAATATTCTCTTGTACAAGCATGCTAACTCATCATCACAAGATTTTTAGGTTTCTTTGTTGTTAGAATGGAGGAAATTTGTAGCTACTTAAATAATCTTTAAGTTCTTCTGAAATTAATCCCTATGATCATCCAGTTGTTTTAAACATAAGAAGCAATGCATCACAATTTTTCAGCTCTTTTAGTGGGTGGCCTTGCACAATGACTTTCCTTTGACAATTTTTGAGCAACCATGCGCAAACGGTCGCTCTTATGTATTATACACATGGTAGGCTAACAGGAACAGAATTCGATAGGGATATGTATTCAGATAGGTCTGAGATACAGATTCCTCCCTTGATCTCGCAGATATTCAAAACACAAATGCATTCTTGCCCGTCCAGCTCATACTTTACTGTGTCCATGCCATGGTTAGATATTAGGTAGCATGAAAACTGGATTTTCAGAAACATAGTACATTATTTGGTTTACTAAACTCTGTTTTCCGGAGATAGATTTCATACTTGTTTACTTTATTTGTATAGATTTATATAATAATGCAATCATATCGTTTCTTTGGATTCTAAAGCTATTGATTTGTACTGGCAAGTTGCCAATTAATCTTCTGGAAGCAACAATGCACTTCTCGTAGAATTTTCACCAAGTGACATATTTTTGTCAAATGTATAATGATGTATTTTTTCGGAAAATATAGTTTATAGTTTCAGAATATGGCTGTTGAACAACTAACTTGAAAGTGTTATCAGAATAATTTGTTACTGAAGATAATTTTCTTCGTCCTTCTAATTTTATGTTGATCTGTGTTCATAATGAAAACTGGATGATGACAAACTTCCTGATTGAGTTCTAGCCTCCTTGTATTATTGCTTAGATCTTGAGGCATCTAGTCCTCTGTACGGTTATTGGTGGTTATTGATTTTATTATGGATTTGATCAGGTCTATGTCATTTAATGTAGTAACGTATCTTCACAGAATCTGGGTTACAGGTTTCAGAAAAATGTCCACAACTATTCGGTTGTTTGTATGTCTATATACGCCTATTTTATGCATGTCAAATTAACTACTGATCATAATTATGTTGTTGGTATTGACTTCTTAGTGAAGGATGATCCATATTGTTGTTCAATGAGGTTGGCAAGGCATCTAACTATGTTTCTTTTCTTTTCAATCGTGCAGTTACACCTCAATCCTATTACTGAAATCTTACAGTTTCACCCATCTTTGAAACATATTGATGATTTCGAGGTGCAAAAAAGCAAGAATACAACTCAAGAAATCATTGAATCTGATAAGGTAAACTTACATGGTCAGTTGAGGCCAATAAATGTAACATATGGATTTCTAGCATCTGTTAAGAATCATTACTTAGTTACTTCTTTTATTTAAAAAAGCCTTTAGTGATGCCTGGTAAGCAGTGTTTCTAAATAGTATTGGTTAGACAACACTGCTATTAAGCTCTGCTGTCCCTCAACGCATGCTTCAGAACTGAATGGACATTGCTTTGAAAACCTGAGGCTACAAAAATTCCTGTCCAGTCTCATCCAAATAGTACCTACACCTGTTTTCTCTGTTTTAATTTATGATTTCGGCATCTCTTATATGTGAACATTTACATTATTTTAGTTGCATTTATTGACTCTTGGTTGAAGAACTAAATTTAAGGAGGGAACTTTAACTTCAAACTACTAAATTTATACCCTTCAACATTGAGCTCAATGTTCTTAAACCGTGTACAAGATACTATCATCCATGCTGCTTTATGCGCTGTTGCGAGTTTTTGTCAGGTCTTAATTTATAAGCACTATTGTCTAAAATAATTTTGGGATTGTCTTTTGAAGATATGGAGTAACATTAAGTTGCATACATGTAAGGTAAATGATTTTAATCTGAATTGATGCCCAGTGTCTTGCATCGCCTGCATAGTAATATTGGAAGGTCCAGTGATTTTTTTATTTATCCTATCGATTTGGGTAAGCAGTTGGTGTCATTTAATGTCGATACCATATATTTTAGCCACAAGAAGCAGATTGATAGCTTCTCATGTTTTGTACAGTTTACTCTGCTGTGTTTGAAATCTAACCTCAATCAGATTATAATAATGGCTTTTATGAAATAGTATTCTATTAAAAGTATAATATGGGAGTCTTTTGAAAAGAGTAATATTTTAATTATTGTGAAACTTAAATGGGATTTGCCATCCATTTCATAAAATTATGAAGATTTTTCATATAACATGAATCTCACCCTTTTAGTCACATGTCCATGCTATAGGCAGGGAATATCGATGGTGGATTCTAGTGATCGCATTGACAATGCAGAGGTGAACAATATTTAATATGCTCTTGTTTAATCTTGGCCGTTCAAGTTTCATTCCCACTGCGAATATAGAGTTCTCTCTTTTCAGTTGATTTGTTGTAGCTATAGAGAAATAGAAAAGAGAAAGCTATTTACCCCCCCTCAAACCCTAATCTCTCTTAAATAGAGATTAGGAAGATATTACGAAATAGATAAACATATCTAATTGCATCTCATCTCATGATATCTCAGAAGATATACTAGATCTAAATACCGATATATCTAACGGCAGCATTTTGATAACTTTTTTTTCTGGTTTTAAATGATCTTGTTAGTTCCAGTATATAGGATTACAAAGCGTTTAGTCCTTTTAGTCCTCCTCCAAGTAAGAGTGATCGCATCAGGAGGTACCTCAGCTGTAAGGTGCTTATATATATAGACTGAATCCGTTGTGGGTAATGGGATTGTCCTTTCCCAACTTCGCTAGCTTTCCTATACCAAGTTTCAAGAAACTTACCTGTTTTCTTTTTTGCTCTTTTATTAAAGATGCAGAGATTTCTCTTTTTCAAATTTTATATTCTCTACATTTTGTTAATAGAAGGTTGATTTTTTCTTGTTTAAATTTTTAATACCTTGCAGCCTTGCGTTTCGCTGAAATATAATTCCATGGGCAGTGAAATTTCACGCAAATACCTTAAAAAGATGACAGCACTGAATGATCTTAAAAAGATGACAGCACTGGATGATCTCTCTACAATGGGCCCGTAAGTTTCTCATCATTTTGTGCTCACAATGAGTTTTCCCCTGATATTCTCCATTTTATTCCATTAAGTTGTTTTTGTACTCTATCTTGAATGTCTTTTTAGGTCTGAATATCTAGCCCCTTTGTGCCTGAGAGCAACTGTCGAGGGGGAAGTACAAAAACCTTCATCAAGGTCAAGTCCTTCAAGTCTGTTTGCTCTTTTGTACAATTTATCGTGGGTTTGTGTTTTTATTTTTTAAGTTGCAACATGAGATTGATATATTATTAGATTTCCTCGTCATCCTTACTTTCAGAAAAGATAGATTTCCTCGTCATTCCCTTGTGCAGTCTTCTTAATACTTCTACCTCATCACTCTACCTGCAAGTTCTACTATTGTTTGAATTGTGAAGACTAACTTTCTTTCCCGATTTAGTTCCATAAAGTCAATTGTTAGGTAGCATGCACTCTTATATTTGAAACTTTGAGTTATGTATTGCTATGTTTATCATCTATTCTTTATAATAATTTCATATTCAAATGTACCTTTCCCCTTGACAGCTACAGTTAAGCATGGCATGGTCATGAAGCTTGACGCCAATAAAGAACCATTAGTATGTAATCACACAGCACATCTTAACACTAAAATGCTTTTTGAGTTCAAACTTTCCATGTCTAGTTCTCCTACCTTTTAAGCCGTTTTCAAGCTTAACTCACACGTTTAAGCTAACATGCTTAATCCAGCTAAGCTCAAGCTGCTCTCTTAGTCCTGAAGTCATTTGAGTAAGGTTAAGCTAGACAGACATAAATCCAACCATATGTTGGTTAATAAATAGGGAGCCACGTTTTGAGTACAATCAGCTTCAGGCTTATAGGGTTACTCAATCTGGACCAAGTGCATAAGATATTAAAATAAATGGTGGTCTTGATTTGTTTTATTAGAGTTTATATTTAATTTGCCGAGGGAATACCCATAGACAACCTAGCCTTAATCTTGGCCTATTGATTAAGTTGCATACAAGTCTTCACCTAGTATCCTCATCTCGACCCATAGAAAAGTCTGGAGAAAAGGGAGTGTACTTAATTTAAGACTCATTGAGAGATCTGGATCCTGGTACAAAAGGCATTACACACTGGATGTGTTTGTAATATACATACCTATAGTTTATTGTTTTTAATAATTGTCTCATTTTCAAACCGTATTGAAAATTCTCTACCAAATGTCGTGTTTAGATACTTTGATGTTTTTTATGTTCCTGGTTTAATTTTCTTTTATTTGTTGACACTACTGCTTATTTCCCTTTCTTCGACCGGAAAAACGGTTAAAAAAGTGGCTAATTGAGGTCAGCTCGGTGCAGCCTATAATGTATGCTTCATAGGTACATATTTTCTTTAAAAAATCCAGTAAAATTTCCTCCTTGTGAAGGTCTTTACATGACTATGTTTGTTCTGACTTGCTACCAAAATGTATGTTTCATAGACTTAGGGAAAATGTGCTCTCTTACCATTTCCTACAGTTTACTTGTAGTTTCATGCTATATCAATTTGAAGCTATCCCCATTATTATTTTTTAATATATCAAGCTTTCTTTTGCAGAAAAGTCAAGTAAATCACTTTAATGCTCTTTTGCATCTCGATCTTACTGAATCAGAAGAAGTTTTCTTGAATATGCTTGAAGGCTTAGCCTATTTGGTGCAAGGACCATGGGTTTCCAAAAGTTCTTTGATATATGATGGTGATGAAGAATGGATAAGAGACTACATTTTATTCCTGTTTAGTCAGAATCTCGTCATTAAGAAGAGAAAGCTGGAAGAGTTAAAAATAGATGATTCTGCTTTGAGACAACTATTTACTCCACTAGCTTATGAAAGAGAGCTTTTTGACGATTGGAAATTCATAGAGGAGCGTGATTTTACTTTCATAAAACAACATCCAGAAGTTCATGAGAAGCATGAAGATGCTTGGAAGCGGAGAGGTGGACTTCTAGAGGACTATATCAGAGAAAGAGTAGCTCAACATGTTGGAAGCGTAGAATTGTCAAAAAGCTCCCTTTCATAAGCTAGTGGAGTAAGTAGTTGTCTCAAAGCAGAATCATCTATTTCTAACTCCTCCAGCTTTCTCTTCTTAATGACGAGATTCTGGCTAAACAGGAACAAAATGTAGTTTCTTATCCATTCTTCATCACCATCATATATCAAAGAACTTTTGGAAACTCATAGTCCTTGCACCAAATAGACTAAGCCTTCAAACATATTCAAGAAAACTTCTTCTGATTCAGTAAGATCGAGATGCAAAAGAGCATTAAAGTGATTTACTTGTCTTTTCTGCAAAAGAAACCTTGATATATTAAAAAAATGTAATAGGGATAGAAGCATGAAGATGCTTAGAAGCGGAGAGGTGCACTTCTAGAGGACTATATCAGAGAAAGAGTAGCTCAACATGTTGGAAGCGTAGAATCAGCAACTCAGTGGAATGAGGATAAGAATTCTGTCAGACAGGCTCTTTTACATATTTTATCTGACGGTAGAGCTCATGGGTAATGTTTGCATTATTTACCTTTTCCTAGAACAAGTTTCCTTTCCCCCTCACTGTTTATATTTGTTAGTCTTGATGTGCAAAAAATGCTATGTTCTGTCAGTACGAGTTTTGTTTTCTGATCCTCCCATTTCACGAAGTTGCTCAATATTCCCAAGTATATTTCATATGGAGGAACAACTAGAAGCACTTGTACTAGGGCAATGATAAAGTTGGTTATACTTTCTTGATGTCTTTCTTTCCCAAAAATTTAGATGCTTATGACATAGAGGTTGCCTGTATAGGAAAAATATCATAAGCTGTTTACAACTTGCTCAAAAATATTGATGATATCCATAATTTGCAAAGGAAATTCTTAATCAACGAAGTGATGAGTTGTGAAATGCTCTTATCGCATGATGGTGCTATTGTTAGGCCTAAATAATGATGAGGACATCCAGGCACGTGCACAGGATTTTCGTCGTGTTTATCAACGTAGGAGACGCCGTATTTCAGCCGTGCATCAGATCCCTGCGATATGGTTTTGATGTTTTAGATTTTGTTTTTTTAGTTATTTTTCAGTTAGTAGTTGATTTCAGATTTGAATTGTGAGATGATATTTGTTAGTTATTTAGTTTGTTATTGGATGAGGTTGAGAGAGATTTGATTGAGATTTCAAAAATCTGTAATATTCTTCTCTATATAAACATTGTTGTAATCAGAATTAATTATTGAAGAATGAATAAAAATTCTTTTGCTTAATTGAGGTGTGATACCCTAGCAATTATTTTCGTTTGTTCTTTTTTTTAAGCCGCCAAACTCCTCTTCCTCACGTAAAATAACACAACCGCTTCCCTAAGTCCGCTCACCCTGTTCATCATCTTCAACCTCCGCTCCCTTCCTGCAGCCTTGCGCCACCAATCACGGCCTCCCTTTCCCCCTGTTTCCGTCAAAATCCAGCGCCACCAACAAGCCCTACCTCCTCCTTCACCGAACTGCATCTTCCCTTACTCGGTTTCTGTCAACCACCGGCGCCAACCTTCTTTCTGTCCTCTCCACTCTTGAAAGCAGATCCACGACAACCAGTCACCCTCTTCAAACTCCGATCACCAGCCCCAACACCCAGCCGCGCTCCTTCAACCATTAGTCGCGAGCCCTCCCTTGTTGTCTACTCCCAAACAGACCGCCTAACCTCCCTGCCGAGCAGTCCTCCATAAACCCCACATCTTTCTCCTCTGCCATCTTCCCCAACGAACAACACCACCCACAGAAACATCCCTGTCTTCTCCTGTTGCTGCTGTCGAGTCAGATCTGATTTCCTATGATCCGTTGGTGTATGGCTGATCCCGACGCTAAAGACTACGATCTCAGTCAGATCTGATTTCCTATGATCCGTTGGTGTATGGCTGATCCCGACGCTAAAGACTACGATCTCGTGTTTGACCCAGAGACTGGTATAGTTGATTTACAGTTTTCCCCGTGGTTCGACTATCAGACGTTCGAGACTGTGCCCGAATACATCGAACAGATTGTAGGCAATAAAAATTGCCTTTAATCCTTATCAGAGAAGTTCAGAACAAAACTGCTAAAACCTCGCCCGAAATAGCAGAAAAAGGGGAAAACACAGATATCTTCCAATCCGTAAGGAATTTGGCGAAACGGAGGAAGCGAACCGAAGCCTTCGGCTCGGTTCGGATGGCTCCATCTCGTCGAGATAGGCGATTTTCATATATAATTCGTCCAATTCCGACTTACGGTTTGAAAGTTACGGCCTATTCTTCGATCCATGCTATAGAGCTCGCCTAACAGCTTAAAGCTCGCCTGCAGACCCAGGATCGTCTGCAGTCCCCAGCTTCGCCTGCACCTGCAAATCCGCCTGCAGACCCAAGTCTGCCTGCAGTCCCAAATCCGCCTGCAGACCCAAGTCTGTCTGCAATCCCCAAGCTCGCCTGCAGACCCAAGTCTGCCTGCAGTCACAAGCTCGCCTGCAGACCCAAGTTGCAGATTCGCCAGCTCACTGTCAACTGCCCACTTGGAGTATGGGAATAGTTACATCAGTGGTCAAATCCCACAAATCAAGGGAGAGGGCACAATACCCCAAGACCGTCAGATGGCCGTCAACAGTACAAATGAGCGGACAGGCGCCGAAACAGCCTGCACCCTCATAAATGCGGCTTACCTCACTTGTTCAAACAGAAGGGAGGGCCGCCGGCGCTCAGTGAGTTGGCCATATCCACTCGAGTATCTGACAGCCGCTGTCACGCATACGAGGAAGGGCTTTCCTATTCCTAAGTGACGTGATGTAAAACATGGCTCCTCGAATGACCGCTCCTGTTGCAGGTGAACAGCAGGATATCTCTGAACGACGTGTGGTCACATCCCATAATTCAAGGAGCAGTCAAGCTGTCTCCCTCACGTGGTCAGATCCCATGAATCAAGGGATGGCCTATGTCATCCCTTGCCTATTAAAACCCATCTTCAGCCAGCATGAAAGGGGGATTGGCTGTTGCATATTCTGCTGGCTAATCTCCCAAAGGTTGAACGTGGACCTTTGCCAAATGCTCCCTCGTTTGAGAACTGAAGCTCCGGCAGCAACTTCGATCGGATCGTCCAAGGGAAGCAGACTCGGCACGAGCACCTAGCGTGGCGTCCTATCGCCACCGAGGAACCCACGTTAAACAAGGAGGGCCTTCCCTCCGCTTCTGTTGTAAACATTTGATTTATTAGTTTGTAATAAGCCTTCTTATTAATACAAACGAAGTTCCCTGTTTTCGGGAGATCAAAATTTACACCTACACGGATGACTCATCAGATTGACAGTAGCGTGGAGGCTCAGTTAGGCATCAGTTCGTTCCATAGGCGTTTTAGTCCAGAGGCGTCACTTCATCCTAATTACATGGCTCTCGAAGAACTTCCTCCCCTCATCTTCGGCGTGTATGAACCACCTCCTGAGATCCCTCACGTCGAACCAGTTCAACCTGGCGAAGATTCTGTTTTCTATCGATCCAGTATTTTCGGAACCACTATTGCGTGCATGTTATTATCAATCTTAGTATCAATTGCGATTATGCTGTATTTAGTTTGATTAGTGAGCGAGTGATTCTGTTGCTGCGTATTTCTGCTGATCTAAATATTACGAGTCGAACTGTATTAAGAGAACAAATCATTACATTTATTATCTGAATAATTTACAAAGGCTGTAAACTGAATACATTGCAATATTTGCTTAAAAATCATCGAAAGCTTCACTTTATTCTCGAGCTTCCTACCTAGATTGATCGCCGATTTGATGAAACATTATCGTTGCTGATCTTCATACCTGCATAACATTGTTTTACATCAAATAACCCTCCATGAAATGCTAAGCTATTCAACATCAAGGTTGGCGAAAGCTTTTACGTGTGAAATGGATTTTTGTTGTATGAACTGGCCTTTTCCAACATGTAAACCATATGTTTATATAGAGCAAGGTTTTAAATATTGGTTATCGGATATTCATCGGACGGTTAAAATCCATACCGGATAGCAGAAATCATGTATATATCGGAGATAAGTAGTATTTATGGGATTGATATTACTAAATGGTGTATATACATAATATAATATCATAAAAAGGTAATCTAACCATACTTAATGAAATATAAACATACCAAAATGTAAATAATCATGTTTAGGATCACTAACCAATAGTAGAAACTTGCTTCTTAATTGCACGATGAAACCATTCAAGTGCATAGTTAGTAAAAAATGGAATAACATTACAAGCAAATAACAATATAACATAGAGAATGAAGAATCATCAACATAATTATTGTGTAATCACGTGATTATAAACTAACTTACTAATTTGAGATTTAATAGTTATCAACAATGTCGATATTCATAAACAAATATAAGCTAATCACTAAAGAACCATGTGGTACCCTAAAATTTAGTCCCATATCGGATATTGAGTGAGGGATTGAATGATTTAAATGATGAGTCTTGAGAGCCAAGTTCAACATTGGCTAGCCAATTTTAGCAGTAGATTAAGGGAAACCATGTGTTGCACTCCGTGGATCCCAGGACTTACATCACGCTAATGGGCCTGGGGCATGACAAATGGTATTAGAATAGTTAGCCAGTTAGAAGTGTGGAGCTAACTGTTATATGAGGGTAAGTGCTACACCGCGTGGATACGGTGAGAGCCACTCTAGAACTCGTAGAAGCCACATTTAGAGTCTACATCGCCTGACAGTGACATTGAGATGTGCTAATTATCATGTCATAACGACGAGGACAATATCAGAGCAGTTAACCAGCTGGAAGTGTGGAACTAAGTGCTATACATGACATTGCTACACCACGTGGATGTGGTGAGAGTCACCTTTAGAGCCCGTAGAAGTCACATCTAGAGTCCACATCGCCTGACAATAACACTGGGATGTGCCAATCGTCATGTCGTGACGACGATGATGTCGTCTTTGTAAGGTGAGATGATTGTGACACCCACATACTTTAGTTCCACATAGACTAGTGTGAAGAAATATTAGCGGCTTAAATTGAGAAAAACCCAAGACCCAAGAATAATTAGTGCTAGCATTTTGGTAAATTAGATTTAGCTAATCACGAGTTGCTCTCTGTGGGTCCCAAGACTTGCACGCATCAACGGACCCTTGGGCCAGGGGCGTGACAATCAGGACTTATATCACGCTAACGGGCTCACGGGCTCGGGGCATGATAAATGTTAACAGAGTAGTTGCCAGCCGGAAGTGTAGAGCTAAGTGCTATGCATGACTAGGTGCTACATTGCGTGAGCACTGTGAGAGCTACCTCTAGAGCCCGTAGGACCCACCTCTAGAGTCCACATCGCTTGGCAATTCTGGGATGTGCCAATTGTTATGCTGTGACAAGGACATCGCGCAATTAAGGTGGGGTGATTGTGATATCCTAAGATTTAGTCTCATATCGGATATTGAGTGACTGATTGAATGGTTTTAAATGATGGGTCTTGAAAGCCAAGTGCAACATTGGCTAGCCAATTTTGGCAGTGGATTGAAATGATGGGTCTTGAAAGCCAAGTGCAACATTGGCTAGCCAATTTTGGCAGTGGATTGAGCCAAACTATGTGTTGCATATCCATGGATCCCAGGATTTACATTGTGCCAATGGGCTCGCGTCCCTGGGGCATGACAAAGCAAGTTTCAAAAGCAACAAATAGTTTATAAATCTTAAACATCCAAATAGCAAACCCAAATCCAAACCAAAGGCCGATAATTTCGCTATTTTGAGCAAACAATATTGGCCAAATATCTCACTTTATCGCCGCATTATCGCCGACAAACATTCAAAAATGATAACCGATTTAAAATCAAACTTATCATAGCGGAAGACCCCCAAAACTGTTAAGTCGCTGATAGTATATCAGTTTATCGGCTGATATTTAAAACAATGATATAGAATAGGGCTATTCTGAATGCTACCCTACTTTGATTATTGAAGTCGAGAGACCATAATTGTGCTTTGCTTTGCTCGAATTAACATATCACAAGCTTAGAGCTTCTGAAAGTCTCTCCAGTGACAAGGTATGCCTACAATTTGTCAGCATCTAGATGCTCCTTTCCTCTGACACCATCTAGGACCATGCTTCTTCAGTTCTTAAGATTGC